CTTGAACTCCTCCACTTGGGGCAGGACCACCTCCCTGACCCTGAGAGGGCACTCTACCCTTTTCCGGCTCAAGACCATGGCCTCGAATTTGGAGAAACTGATCTTGATCCCGGCCGCGTCGCACTCGGCTGTGAACCACTCCAGCGAAAGCTGTAGATCATGATCTGATGAAGCCAATAGGACCACATCATTTGCAAAAACAGACGCGATCCTAAGGCCACCAAAACAGATCCCCTCAACACCTTGGCTACGCCTAGAAATTCTGTCCATAAAAGTTATGAACAGAATCGGTGACAAAGGGCAACCTTGGCAGAGTCCAACTCTCACCGGGAACAAGCCCGACTTACTGCTGGCAATGCGGACCAGGCTCTGACACCAGTCATACAGGGACCTAACAGCCCGTATCAAAGGGCCCGGTACCCCATACTCCCAGAGTACTCCCCATAGGGTTCCCCGAGGGATGCGGTCGAACGCCTTCTCCAAGTCCACAAAGCACATGTAGACTGGTTGAGCAAACTCCCACGCACCCTCCAGGACCCTGCTGAGAGTGTAGAGCTGGTCCAGTGTTCCACGACCAGGATGAAAACCGCACTGCTCCTCCTGAATTCGAGGTTCAACTATCCGACGGACACTCCTCTTCAGAACCCCCGAATAGACCTTACCAGGGAGGCTTAAGAGCGTGATCCCCCTATAGATAGAACACACTCTACAGCCCCCCTTTTTGAATAGGGGGATCACCACCCCGGTCTGCCAATCCAGGGGAACTTCCCCTGATGTCCACGCAATATTGCAGAGTCACATTAGCCAACACAGCCCTACAACATCCAGAGCTTTAAGGAACTCTGGGCGAATCTCATCCACACACCAGCTTTTTAACCACCTCGGTGACCTCAGAACCAGAGATTGGAGGGCCCGATCCAGAGTCCCCAGGCTCCGCTTCATCAATGGAAGATGTGCTGGTGGGATTGAGGAGGTCTTCAAAGTATTCTGCCCACTGACCCACAACATCCCGAGTTGAGGTCAGCAGCACACCACCCCCACTATAAACGGTGTTGGTGGTGTACCGCTTTCCCCCCTGAGATGCCAGATGTTGGACCAGAATCGCCTTGAAGCCGTGCAGAAGTCATTCTCCATGGCCTCTCCAAACTCCTCCCATGCCTGAGATTTTGCCTCAGTGACCACCCGAGCCGCATGTCGCTTGGACTGTCTGTACCCATCAGCTGCTTCCAGGGTCCCACAGGCCAAAAAGGCCCAATAGGACTCCTTCAGCCTGACAGCATCCCTCACCACCGGTGTCCACCACCG